AGTCAAACGGTGGCGGCGGCAGCCAATGAGTTGAACGACGGTGGCGGCAATTTGCATCGTCTCCACACAGAGGAAGCCCAGCCGTCCTACGTGGCGGCGGCCGCCGTTTTGTAGGCCGGCCCTGGCAGCGCCAAACGTACGCGAACTACAACAACGGGTATCCAACCCCAACCACCGACGCGCGTTAGATTCCCGCGCATGTTTACCTGAGCAGGCAGATTCTTGCAGTTAAAGGGCTTCGTATACCTTGACATGTTGAATGAGGCAAACAGAGCGAATAGCTCTGCAGCCCGCTCTTCCACAACGTTCCTCAACAGCATTCCGGCCTCTCCCGAGTACCGTCGGTCTCCCCCTTACAGGGCTGAACACGGCGACCAATGAAGCTCGCCGCCACCAATCCGTCGTTGGTCTTCACGCCCTTTATTAAACCAAGGAGCTCCCTCACTTGCTCCATATCAGCGTTGCTTGGCTTCTCTAACCAGCTCTTCTGGCTCTTTGGGATGTGGTCGGCATCGCAGCGGCCGGCCGGGTGGCTCTGCTTCATGTAGAACCACCTGGCGTTCCACCCTTTCAGCGACATGTTCAGCAGCACAATAAGGTACTCGTCTGCCATGCCATCGCACAGCTGAAGGTACACTCCGCCGACCACCTTGGAACCACCGCCACCTCTCTTCTTCAGCCAGAACATGTGACAGAAGAGGTTGAAGTGGGGAAGGATTCCAAGATACGCCTCATAGAAATGGATGAAGATCGAGATGTGCAAAATGGTATTTGGGTGGAGATTACACAGACTAACCACCCAAAGCTCCAACAAATCCCTCAGGAATGGATGAACAGGAAATCCCAACCCACGCCAGAAATAATCCTCAAATACCACCACTTCATCGGTATGAGGCGTTGGGAAGGGCTCATCAAGGGTTGGCCGCCATCCGGCGGTAGTGCGGTCAGGAAGAACGCCAGCTTCCACCAATCTGTTGAGCTCCGCCTCTCCCGTTCACGATGGCACCCACTCTTCGTCACGTTGGGCTCTAGCGCTCGCCTTCTTGGGGCTCGTTTTCTTCGGTTTGGCAGCTCCCTTCTTCGGCGCTATCTCTCAGATCTGATTAGGGTTTGGCGACGGAAGTAAGTGTGGATGCAAATCTGGTTACGCGAGGGCTAAGGAGGAAGACGAAGTGGCAAAGGTGGGAACGCGGGATACAGTGGCGCAGTTATAAAGCAATCCCCCACCTTTTTGCATTCGAGGGTTTTTGGGAAACCGTTCCATGATTTGCGCCTCTCCGAATTCTCCAACGCGGCTTAATGGGCCGTTACCTAGGCTTTCGCGCAACCGTTGCCCGTGTCGCTCATTTATCGCCGCCATGGGTTATCACTCGCTGAATAATCGCCGACTTCTCCGCCATTTACTGAGGCTCAGTAACCATTATTGTACAGCCGTTACTCCAGTTTTTTCTCCACGGTTGGATTTTCTACGATATCTCCGCTTGTGGCTCGGGGACTACGCCACCACTACGACTTGGTTCCTCATCATGCGGGGAATTTTCTTCTGTTGACTGTTGTTTCTGACTCTAGCACCACGTGACTACGTCACCTACTGTCAGGCTCGGGGACTAAGTGGGCACTCTTCACCTTGCGGTGAATGTGCTTTTCGGGGCTACGCCCGGGGACTAGCTGCCTGCTCAGCTGGTCTTCTATTTTTCTTCTACTTTGGACCCTGGCACCACATGACTGCGTTTGCGTGATCTACTGTCAGGCTCGGGTACTAAGTGGGCACACTTCACCTTGCAGTGAATGTGTTTGCTTTATTCTGGAAGACTCCGCGCCTCTTGAAGTTGAAGAAGACTATCTCCTTTTCTCGTGGTTGGACTCTAAGTGGGCACACTTGGTCCCCTGCGAAGAAATTTTTGATTCTGAACTTGAGCTCCTTACACCCTTATGACAAGTCGTACTTGGTTACACTGCTCGGCTACGGTTCACGCTGCTCGGCAACTGCTCACAACTGCTCGGCAACTCATCACGGTGGTCGGACCAAGAGTCTGACTGCTCGGCTTTGTTCGCGCCTGCTCGGACAAGCTCAAGACGGCGTTGCACAACAGGTACAAGGTGCTCGGGGACTAGCTATGGGGGGTACGTCCCTAGGTACCCACGGCAGACCACATGGGTTGTGCCCCCAGGGGCGGCCCAGCCCACAAGACGAAGCCTTGCGGGGCACGACTCTGCTCGGCGCCTCCCGCAAGACATCGGGAAGATATCCTGAAGATACTACAAGATCTGTTAGGATACGTATGATCCCAAGATTCCTGTAATCTGTTATTACTTTCCGGTTATGTCTCAGATCTAACTGACTTGTAACCCTGTCCCCCGGACTATATAAGGCGGGCAGGGACCCCCTCCAAACTCATGCATTATCATACGATAGCTAATACAAACCAACAGACCACAGGAGTAGGGTATTACGTCATACTAACGGCCTGAACCTGTCTAACTCGTGTGTCTATATTGCCTTCTTGTTCTTGATCACACGCTTCTCTGCCGATCAATCTACCTTCGTGGGATACTCATCGGAGGACTGCCGACAATATTCTGTCGACATGGGGTGATTTTGAAACTTGATTTTGAAAAGGCATACAATAAAGTGAACTGGAAATTCTTGTTTGTGTGTTTGGCTGCTAGAGGTTTTTGTCCTAGATGGTGTGATTGGATTCAACAAGTGGTGTCTGGTGGAACAGTTAGTGTTAAACTGAATAATTGTATTGGATCTTATATCAAAAGTCACAAAGGGGTAAGACAAGGAGATCCATTGTCTCCAATTCTGTTTAATTTTGTAGCCGATGGTCTTACTAGAATGATTCTTAAGGCCCAATCCAATAATCTTTTTTCTGGTCTCATTGATCATATCATAGACAGGGGTGTTGCAGTGTTACAATATGCTGATGATACAATTATTTGTTTGAAGCATGACATTGATGGTGCTAAAAACTTGAAACTCTTACTCTACATGTATGAATTAATGACTGGACTCAAGATTAATTTTCTCAAAAGTGAAATTCTTACAATTAATGATGAGGATAATTGGGCTGGAGTATATGCTGAGATTTTCAATTGTCAAATTGGATCATTCCCTATTAAGTACCTGGGAGTGCCTATAAGTCCCAGTAGGCTTCACATCATTGATTGGATACCTTTGTTAGATAAATCATCAAAAAGACTTGATATATGGAAGGGGGGTACCATGTCTATAGCTGGGAGGTCCACCTTGATTTCTTCTAGCCTGAATAATGCCCCAATGTATCAAATGTCTATCTATTTGTTACCAAAGACCATTGTGAAAAAGATGGATCAGATTAGGAGAACTTTTTTCTGGCAAGGTGGGGGGACTAAAAAGAAATACCATTTAATAAAGTGGACTAAAATCTGTAAAAGTAAAAAGAAGGGAGGTTTAGGCATTAAAGATACAAGGAGAATGAATGTTAGTCTGCTTTGTAAGTGGTGGTGGAGACTTGAAAATGAGCAGGGTCTGTAGCAAGAAATAATAAAGTTCAAATACATCAAAAAAGGATCTGTTTGTACTGTGAAACATAGGCAAACTGATTCAGCTATTTGGTCTGATTTACTCAAAATCAAAGATATATATCTGCAAGGAAGGAAGATTTCTGTGAAAATGATAGAAGTACCCTGTTTTGGAGAGACCCCTGGTTATATGAAAAACCCCTATATCTTCTATATCCTGATTTGTTTAAGTTGTGTGAACAACCTGATATTTCTGTATATGATGTGAAGAACAACCCACAACTAATCACTTTTACAAGATGGTTGGTGGATAATTGGAAACTTGATTGGGATAGGATTTGTGCAGATGTGAGAGAGGTTACGTTAAATATTGGTAAGGATGTTAGTACCTGGAAATTTGGACCTAAAGGGCGTTTTACTGTCAAATCTGTCTATGATGCTTTGTCTATGAATGAATCTGGCATATACCAAAAGAAACTGTGGAAAAGTAAGATTCCTAGTAAAATCAAGATTTTCTTATGGCTTGTTATTAACAATGCTATTCTGACTAAGGACAATTTGATTAAAAGAAAGTGGAAAGGTGATCCGGCTTGTTATTTCTGTTCTCATGCTGAATCTGTCGATCACTTGTTATTCCAATGTAATGTGTCCAAAGCTGTTTGGGCTATCACTGCAAAATGTATTGGCGCCACAAATATTCCTAGATCCTTTTCCCAGTGCTGGGCATGGGCTGATAGGTGGCTGCCTTCTGGGAAGCAATTTCATGCAATTGGGATTGCTGCTTTATGCTGGGCGATTTGGAAAACTCGTAATAAAGCTTGTTTTGAGGGCAAATGTATCAATGACCCTGCCTCAATTGTATGCTATGCTTGTATGCTCATGTGTTACTGGGCAGGACTATTTGCTGAAGAAGAGAAGAAGGCGCTTGAAGAGGGAGTCAATACCATGTTGCAGATCGCGGTCAAACTCTTGGACAAGAAGAAGCCGAGCACTCAGTTGCTGATGAATGAAGATGAAGACGATGATACACAGAAGAAGTAGGTCTGCAGATGCTGCTCTACAAGGAGTGTGTCCTTTCTTGGATGGCGCTTTGAAGGAGTTCGTCATATGTTTGCTGATGGGTTTTGTCAGCTTGAACTGGCATTCTGTCATGTCTTTTGCTACTATTTTCGATCTAGCCTAGATACAGTCTCTAGATCGTGGGTTATCTGGAAAAAAAATTTCAAGATCGTGCTTTAGCACGTTTTTCATTAAGCAGGAGAAAGGAGTTTTGTCAGTCAGTGTCAAGTTACGGTAATCCAAAGATTACCAAAACCCACACCCTTCACCCTCACCAGACTCGCATGTTGTTGTAATTACACAATAAACATAACTACTGAGCGACAGTGGTGCTGGTGGCGAAGGGGCTAGTTGGCCTCCTTGTCCAACCCGATCATATCCAAGTTCATGGCCACTGGGTCGAACTCCCCACCAAAAAGAAGCTGCAGCGCCTCCTAGGTGGAGTCAGACAGCGGTGCCCTGAAGGTAGCCTTGTACTTGCACACCGTCTCAGAGACGACATTGGACGATGGTGCCACCATTCCCAGTTTATGCATGAGAATACACTGAGCCTGCTTGGTGGAGTCTGCCTCGCGCGGCTTGGTAGCAATGCGGTCACTGCGCCGCAGCGACGTAACAGGGGCCGGCGTTCGAGGCCTGCGCAACCTCGGCGGACCACGAATGAGGGGCGTCTGCAAAGGAAGGCAGAGACGCTCCTCCAAACTCTCCTGAATCGACATCGTGGCCGTTGCGTGAGGCACTCCGCCATCAACAGCCGACATGGCTGAACCGCCTCCATCTTCCCGTGGTGGCGTGACTTGCGGCATCTCCAGCTCAGGCGACAATGGGGGCGACTCCGTCGTTAGGGAGGCGGCCGCGGGAGCAGTGGGGCACCAAGGCATTGTTGGTCCCGCTGGCCGGCTCGCGACGAGCGAGGCGGTGAGCTCCTCCAGCATCGGGTCAACCCACGTGGGAGACCCCGCACTCGCGCGGGGCTCCAAGACCAGTGGGTCCGGCTGGGGAAAACAGGAAGCAACAGCGGCAGAGGCTTCGCCCGGCATCGTCAGAGCGGCCCGTGCCTACCTCCCGAGACGCCTTCGTCGTCGGTGTCGCTGGCCGCCGCTGGCAGGAACGACGTTGTACGGCACGGTCTCACAAGCGCCATGAGAAGCACCGTGGTCCGCCGGCCGAGCATTGGGGTTGCTGGCATCGTGGGCAAGCGGTCGTGGCCGACCGCCTGTACCAGTAGCTGTAGGAGGCTTTCGCCGTCGCTGGCCGCCACCGTCCGCTGGCCGAGCATCGGAGTTGCCAGCATGAACCGGGCGTGGCCGATGACCCACAACGCCGACATCACTCGAGCTCCCTGAGCCCACGTGCCGCTTGCAGTCCCTGGCCAGGTGCTGGAACTCATGGCAGTGCAGGCACCTCGGTGGCAGACGACAGGTGGCAACCCAGTGGGTGTATGACAGGCAGTTCAGGCACCTGTCTCGTAGCGCATCTGGGATGCGGCGACGTCGATGTGGCCAAGGTGCTCTCGCGGTGGAGGCATTCCGCTGGCCAACAGGGCACTTGAAGCAGAGCCCAACCAACTCCGGCGGCATCGGGCGCGAGACCGCCAGAGCGCGGCGTTGTTGCCGCCTCTAGCGGCGCCTGCTCTCGATAAGATGGAACCCATCCACATCCGTCGGAGATGCCATGTGCGGTGGGGTGGGCCGGGCGCTGGGCATGACGTGGTGGCCCATCGGCGTCAAGTGCGGTGGACCTGCGGCGAGGACCCAGCCGCTGGTGCACCGAAATCCGCTCCACAGCCTGGGTCTCCGTCGCTGGAACGGAGCGATGAGTCCCACGACCGGCCTCCGGCCTCGTGCGCCTTGGTCGACGACGCCCACGCTGGGTAAGGCAACACCGGGCCGTCACATCAGCCGCCATGCCTAGGTTGGCCGCGACGACCTCGCTGGGGCCTAGCGCGGCGTCGACTGTGGGAGGTGCTCCCGCCGAGGAAGGCTGCGCCAACGCCCGGCTAGCAGCCTCGAGGTAGGGGGAGGGGAAGCGCTCGTCCTCGTCGTCAGTGAGGGAGATCTCATCCCATCGCATGGATTTGGACCTACCGGCGGAGGGGAAGAAGGGGGTGGCATCAGGGGAGAGAGGGGCTGGCTCCAGTTGCGGCGGAGCACCGTAGGATCCCACGAGCGACGACCCGGTGGCATGTCGCACCCCGGACGACCCGCCGCCACCGGGGGCTCAATGCAGCGGCGCTGCCCGCGTGCCGGCTAGCGACTGCACCAAGCGCTCCAACTGTGGAAGGGAGGAGCACGGCGGAGGAGGAGGTGGGGACGCGGACTCCGGCGCCGGCGCTGTTTGGGCGACGTCGCCCGTCATGGCCGCCGCCCACGCGGTAGGCCTGCCGTGGCCGGGCGCGGCACACCGATGGAGAGGCCCAGGGGTGGAAGAAGGGGGGAACGGGAGGGGGAGGGCGCCGTGGGGAGCACCAGGGCGGCGGCTAGGGGTTGGCCACACCAGGGAGCTCCTTCCTCCGTTAGGCCTCGTTCGTTTGCTTGGGTTCCGTTCCTGTCCCTGAAACTTTCCAGGCCCGGATATAGTGGATCTAGGTGTGTCACTCGTTCTAGGCCCAGATACACAATCAGGAATTAATTGTCACAGAGCTGGTGCAACTGCCGTTCGTTTCAGCTAGGAATGATTACATGGTTTCGTTCCTGTTTAGCTGCCCTTTACAGCCACTGCTACTGCAGGTTGTGGCTGGTTTTCTCTAAGCATTCCCTATAGATTAAAAGGAGCATTGTGGTTGTAAAGAGCAACTCAACAGACACAATAATTACAACTTGACGTAAACACTTGTTTGACAGCAAATCAAGGTCACTTGTTTGGCAGCAACTTGACAGTATACATTAGCAGCTTGTTTGACAGCAACTTGATAGTAAACATTTATCTACATACATGAAAAGCAAGGGGCTGAAATGATGGAGAAGTAGCACAAGTAGCAAACAAAAATAGAGTCTTGATCTAGCTTTCAGTCTTTCAGTCTAGATCAAGACAAATAGAGTTTGAACTGGCAGAAGCAAAAATCTCTTATAGAAGTTACAAGCACTCTATGTGAAGACCATAGACCTTAGACCTCCTGCATACTCAAGTCTGGTAGACAAAAAGTTAAACATCAGTTCTAGGAACAGTGACAAATCTGGAAAATGATACTATGCAAGGAAATAGAAATATGATACTATGCAATGATACTACTAGACAGTAAGTAAACAATAAGAATGCCCAGGTTAATATATATCTTTAGTTCTTTACCCTCAGTTATGCATTGCCAGATGCAGAATAATGAGCAGCGTATGAAACCAAAAACCAAGTTCTCAGTCTCAGTTGCTAGAATGCACATGGCCATCTATTGCCAAGAAATTTGAACCCACACTGTGTGCTAATAAGGCCGGCATGGATTAACAATGAACATGAAGCATGGACTAACCCACACTGTGTGCTAATAAAACATTCAACAGAAGGACAAGGAACATTCCATTGTTTCATATTTGAGGTATCAGGAACTAGGGTATGGAACGTTACCAGTAGTAACAGAAGGACAACCAAAGTAGTTGCATTTTTTATACTAAAAAACAAGATAATGCATTAGTACTCCCTCCATACTAAAAAATGATGTCGTTTTGGACAGCGACACGATCTCCAAAGCATAACTTTGACTACTTATTTTTATAAATATATTTATCAAAAAGTGATATATGTAAATTTTTGTGAAAGTATTTTTCAAGACAAATCTATACATATGGTTTTCACATTTTCAAACTCAACAACTTAAAAGTTATTCATGATTTATATTCTCAATGTTTGATCCAAGCCTTGTCTAAAACGACTTTATTTTTTAGTACGGGGGGAGTATTTTGTTTCGACAAGGAGACACCATCTAGGCGAGCATATGGTCAAACCAAGAGATGATGCAAAGTGTTGTTTCCAGAAGACACTGCTGCATGTGTATATGCCTAAATATAATCTTGATGGTGCACTGCACCAGCAAAACCACCTTAGAACATGGCTATCAACCGGTAAAGCTAGCTAGATGGATCACTCCAGTAGAAGTAGTGCACAATCAATGCACCCCCATAACTCAGGAAATCAAATTTAGTAGCAGCTCACACTTCTCCCTCAGCTCTCTATTTTTCCCCAAAATTGGATGAAGCATCCAAGCTAAAGCAGTCCAGAAGCTAGCAGCTACAACACTACGAGCTCAGATCCGGTTGACCGACCCATGATTCCATACCTCCCAGGAGCGGCCCACACAAATTAAAGCCCCACCTCCGAGCATCCTCACCGGCAGCAGGAGCTCGCCTGACTAGCTGTGCCATCGTTGTTCCACCAACGTGCACCTCAAGTCAAGAATAAGAAACACGAGGACCGGAGAGGGGAAGGAAGACGTTGGATGGGAGATGGTCGCCGTCGGCTGTGCCGCGCCGTCGCCTCTTTGCGGCGCCAACTGCGTCGTCGCCTCGCGGGGACTCCGGGCTTCGATCCGGAGGGTAAGACACGAGGATCTGATCCGGGTCGTGGAGTGTGGGGGAAAGGCCAAGCCGGGCCGGTTTTCTTTCCAGGCCAGGCCAAAACGAACAGCCATTCCAATTCACATCTGGATTGAAAACGGGTCGCAGCAATCCACCCGGAACGGGCCCTGGAACGGGCCAATCCGACACAAACGAACGAGGCCTTAAGGAACCATATAACTCGGTTATCTGGATGTTGTTAGGCGGTGGTAGCTTTCTTCAACTTTCCCGTTCTGTGAAACTTTCGAATGCTGATGTATTTCCGTTACATGGTTAATGGGAATGGGGGATTTCCCTCGCTTCAAAAAAAAAAAAAAAAGGCTGCGGCAAGAGCTGAGAGCAGGCAAAGCCCTGCCGATGCGGCGAGGGAGGATAGCTGGGAAGCCATTATGCCGTGTTCAAACTTGAAATTCTGCAATGGCGCAAGCAATTTCCATTCTGCAGTGGGGTGATCTCAAGACAAGTACAAAATGATATCTGCATCGAGGTTTGGTGAGACTGAAGAATGAGGTGAATCTCTTTGACCTGGAGGTTTCCGAGCAGCAAGCTTTCCAAGCTAGATTTGGAAGACCATTGTGAGGGGAAGAAGTATGCTCTTTCTTGAAAATAAGCATGCTACTCCTTAAGCAAGAAGGCGGTGGATGATAATATTAGAATAAAATTATTGCTGCCTTGTGTAGAAGATAAAGACAGAAGATAAAGACCAGGGCAACGAAATGGATAGTAAACATGCAGGGTTGATCCCGCTGACGTATATTATCAGCTACTAACTTTTCGTCTATAGTAAAAGCAAACCGAGAAAATATATGATTTGGAATGCTTGTACGCGTGCGTTAGGGATTCAGGATCGCCCCGCTATAATATGTAGTTATTGGATGATTTGTTGCTGCTACTTACTGCTTCTGTGGTCTGTCTGTAAGGTCTGGGTAAATGAGATTGGTTAAATATTTGTAATTGTATAACTGGGCAACATTTCAATTCATTCATTTTTCTAGATGCAAATTCTGGACATATTAAACTGGACATGTTCTAGTTTAGATTCTCGAGTGACAAGGCTTGGAAATCTGTAATTGCAAACCTGTGGTTCATCAAAGAATAGCTCTTTCTGGTAAATCTCAAATTGATGGATATTGTTTGTTTGCCTAGTAAAGGCATGGAATCTCAAACTGAACCACCAACTGAGGATTGATTTTTTTTTTAAAAAAAAACCACCAACA